GTCGAAAAACGCAGCTCGACCGCCCTGGCGTCTTCACTGGGGTGGAGCCCCTCCGTCGTTTTTCTCTGGGCGGGGCCAGCGAAATCGATACGCATCTATTAATTTTCGCCAAACAGCCGTTTAATCAAGGTCGCAGATTGTGAAGAATGATGCCTAATGGCGGCATGACCATTTCCAGCAACTGATCCACATGCATTCAACCCTGAAGGCAAACCAAGTTTGACGTTGTTATTAACTACCATTATTACTACTATTATTAGAGAAGTACTATTAAAATTTCTTTTCTGATATCTGACTTCCTCCGATTCAGCGATCGGCATCGACGATTCATTTCTGATGTTGGCTGCTTGGCACGAGACATCAACGGCATCTGGATGTCGAGAAGAGAATAGGCGCATCCATGCGTCATGCAGCCGTCTCCATCAGTATTACCACGCTGACCGACGCTCTTGCCTTCCTTATAGGAGCCATTGCACCTCTACCAGCGGTTAGTCCACGGAGCGAAAAATGCTCCCACAATTGCACTGCTTTTCCGAGAATATCTCTTGAATGCGGTCACTTCGGAAGCACGACCATGGGTATCATGTGTGACAAGACAATCGTAATTCGCCGCGGTGGTAGGCGCGGCCAGCGTTGTCGTATGGCTTACAAGGGAGGTCGTTCAGGTCGTGGTGAGCTTTTCAAAAACGGTTTGTTGCATGATGTAGGGGTCCATGCAAGGACCACACAGATGGGGTTCATTTTTGCTAAACGCTATTGGGAATGCCAAAAAAGGTCAAATATAATTCGAAAAGAATGGGCCATTTAAACCACCTTATTCGCCTCTGTTCTAGCTGTAGCGTTGACAGGTATAGTATGTGAGGTATTCTTTGAGCAGGCATGAAAAACAACGCAAAATAAGGTCAAAATTCAATTCAAGTACTTCACTTGAATTGTGGTGGGCTACATAGGGGTTCCATAGTCATAGCTGGCGATATCGCCCTTGAATAGGTCCTGGTATCTCATTCTCGCAATCGGTTGGGAGTGGGCGTAACGCGATGGACACTCAATCGATGGTTTGGGATCGGCGTCCACTTGGACAATAGTTCGTTCTGCATTTTTCAGATCTTGTATTCCTGTGTGTTTTTCCCCATTAATGGTATGACCCGGATATACGCCATTTAAAGACACATTCCATGCGGTTAACGGTTCACAACGGGGCCTCACTCAAACTAATTACGCTCGCGAAATACTATCGAAGAAACTCTCCCTGAAACTTGGGTTACGGCGGTTATCCGATGCCCTGATCACGAATATGACACTCATTTTCGAATATGATATGTCGCCAGTTTGCGTCAAAGGCTCTCTCGTACGTAAATCACTGCCGCACCACCTGCGCGGCGGGCTATAGTTAGGCGCCATACTGCCCAGCATGGCCTCCGCGCCAAAAAATAATACCAAAACATGTGATTCAGATGCTGCGTTCAGTTACTTTAAAGCTTAACCGGTGTTCTTTGAAGACTTCTGAGACATTTGAGAGCTGCGAAAAAAGTAAAAAGTTCTAGCCGTTCGGTATGCTCAGCAGGTCTTTACGGAGGTTCACTGCCACTGTACATCCAAACTGTGTTCATGTCACCACCACCAGGAAAACCGAAAGAATTTTTATTGCCTGAAACCTCCGTATATCTACCTCGTATATAGAGGTAATTAATGGGCCCTTGGATCACGATGCTGAAATATTATTATAGGTGCGACGTGATCACGGCGGTCGAGCGTACGCTAAATGGGCACTGCGCTGCGGATTAGGGAAGCCTGCCATAAACCACTAGAGGAAACGAGGTTAGCCTCCCTGTATGCCAATTAAAGCACCTAAATTTTTGTCTCATCGCCCTGTTTTTCATGCCTAATTGAGGGCACGTGTGTCAGAGCCGAATAAAATGATTAAATTAGCCGTATTCTGCGAAACTTGTTTTTTTTTCCCTTTTGCATTCCCAATTAGCGTTGACGAAAAAACTAACCCCATCTTTGTGGTTCTCGCATGACCTTACATCATGCCAACAAACCGTTTTTAAAAGCTTATCACGACCTGAGGACCTCCTTTGCGCGTTCACGGAATCATATTAATTTCAACACTATCACCTTCTTGTTCGTGTAAGCTGAAATAGGCGAGATCAAATCTAGATATGTTAGTCTCGCTGTCTTTGTGGAACATTCAAGTCGGACTGACGCGCCCATGCCGCATGAATGCAAATTACGATTGTCTTGACCGTCCGCGGAGGACCACCAATCCTTTGGACGATACCGACTACTAACTCTCACCACTATACGGTCTTTGTCCCATATATGAGCTGATTTAGGTGAAGTACTTCTGCTTTTATTCGTGTGCTGCCATCATCTTCATATTCTTTTTCTGTCTGACGATGTTCGTCGCCTGCTTATCCTTACAAGGACGTCTGGAGAAACGAAATAGAAACTCACTTTCGATGGGACCTGTGAAGGACTTGGCTCGTTTAGGTACCGTTTGTTGTAGCATTCAGGAGGGGCGGTGTCAGAAGATGTGAAATGAGCCACCCCTAGCGTTTTGGACTACTGATTGTTTTCTGCATGAATCAGCCACCACTCGTAGACAAGATAGCTGCGGGCGGGTTCATTGCACGCCTCCTGACATCGCCACGCCGAATCGCGACGGTATAAAGGCATAAAGAGGCTAAAGCTTCGAAGGCTTTAGCCACTTCTTTATAAGCCGGCGTAATGTGCCCTCAGCTGTAAGACGCTCAACCTGTAACAACAACTTTGTGAACTAAAACAGCTTACTTTACAGAGAAATTATCTCTCGGTGATCTAGCCTTTCATATGGGATCTTTCGTGGATGAGTCAATAGACGAGGCCTCCAAAGCCTATGATCACAGCAACAAGTCACAAGTAAGTTGTTTTCCATTGGTTGACAGGGAACTAAAGCACGCACTTCATACTCCGGAGATGGGAAGGCCGTGGCCGCGTTTTTCGTGAGAACATGACGTAGGGTGCGTTTTTCGGGCGATGTTTCCATCCTAGGCAACTTCATCCCCTCCTTAGACGGACAAAAACATTACTGGAATTGCCCCAAAAAGGCAATGTTTCACCTAAAACGGAGTAGCTGCCACATTCAGAAACAGGTTATCAATCACGCCCTTCCGATCCTCAGGACGTGAGGTCCAACTTAAGTACTAAATGAACTCTTATCAAATGGCCATCACAAACCCAAGCAAATGCCATCGTTCGGCAAAATCATAGTCGCGCGTCAAAACCATACTTTGAAATGGAAACATCAGCTTTTTAGGACAATCGAATGTGGTACCAGAAGTTTTTTGAGGATTGTTACGCACCTTTCATAGCGAATCGATGGACTGTACTGATGACAGTTATTCTCTTCGGAACCTACGCCACCGTGGCTGCGATCGGATCGCAAAGAGTAATCGTTGGCTTCGACGTGAGTTGATCCAAAAAGATTTCAAAAAGTTGACAAAATCAATTTTTCATTAACTGGTAATGTATGCTGCAAACATAGAATGAGTAACCAAATCAGTAGACTATAGAAAGCGCATCTTCCCCTATGTCTGGTATCCGCACAACCTCACTAATCGGTGCGACATTTTCCTTGAAAAGCACAGTTATCACTCATGGTTAGCTGAACTATTCCCCTCCGACTATCTTCCCCTATGTCTGGTCTCCGCGCACAATGTGGGGGAGACGGGCAAGAGAATCGTAAATTGCCGCTTCGTCGCGCGCGGCAATGGGCGCGACGTTTCCTTAATTTGCACTACCCTTTCGACTGAGCATCGGATTTCATGTAGACAAGGACATGGTAGACGCTTATGTC